AAAAAAAAAAAAAAAACTTAATTGAAAAAAATGGAAAAATAACCAATCAACGTGTAGTTAAAAAAAATTCCGACTCATGGTAAAATTTAAAAACTTTAATTATTAAAATTACAAACTTTTCTATAAGTATGTGATAATTTAAAAGAGTTTTTTTAAGTCTTCAAACTTTTTCTTGTTCAAGGTAGCACTCAGAGAGCAAAGTCACGCTAACATGCGCATACATTCTTCATACGTGTTGCTGACTAGTGTTTCCAGCTGTTAGTTAGCTCAACCTTAAAACTCATACATAATAATGTGAGGATATATATATATATATATAGACAGACAGCGAGAGAGAGAGAGAGAGAGAGAGAGAGAGAGAGCATAATTAATAGGTTTTTGCATAACTTCGGAGTTGAAGAGACAAAATCTATGGAGATAATGAGATTGTCTCCAAGGTCATATCAAAACCTGACATGTGGAAATTATGTGATCTTCTTGACACCAAATCTCAGTCTCCACATGACCAAATTTGCCAATCTACAAAATCTTGTTCACCCAAAAAACTATCAACTTTGAAGTTCTTCAACTCAATGTTTAATGTCCAGATATGCATATATAGATCAGAACATTGATTATATTTATATTAAATATATGTATATGGGTGTTCTATTACTACAACTAAGAAGAATAAAGAATTTAAAAAAAGAAAGAAAGACAAAAAAAAAGGATAGAGGAATTAATGGTGGGGGTTGAACTTGGTCCAAATTCTAGTTCAAGCATTGTATTTGTATATATAGCTGTTCTTGTCTCATATACTGGCATTTTGGTGGGATATTATGTCTAGATCTTCCATGTACTTTGTTTACTTTATAAATAAAAAGTCAAATATTTAAGTGCTTACAATTCGATGACCAAAACAAATATAATCTTCTCTTATCTATGGTGCTTCTCTTCTTTCATAATTTAATTTTGAGAACTCATGTTTATAAATAATAAATTTCTCAATATATAGATCAGAGTATTTGTACAATATATATGGGGCGACTCCACAGTAGTGTTGATGGTCCCATCCCCCATCAACCAAACAAATGTCCTTTTAAAAAAAAAATTATTTGTATTATTAATTAATATTTTATTTTATATAGTTTGATTCTTTTAAAAAATTAAAGGAGCTCATCAAATAAGAAAAATAATTAAAACAATGGAATGGTATCATTATTTGGTAACATTTCACCATTTACCCTCTCATCTATAGGAAAATTTTGAGAGTGGGGCTCACCATTCACATATAAGTTTATTGTTAATATGCAATATCACGTGTCAATGGTGACATGATATCATTATGATACTGAATTTTTGCTCATCAAATAAGGAAGTACACTCATTAGAAATCTACTATTTGAGAAATTTAAATCACTTTGTTTAATAAACAGTTTTTAAAAATAATTTTTGATTTTTTGTGTTACTTGTCTTTGGTTATTTTTTTTTTCAATATTCTAAGTAATTTTTTTTTAAAAATTTTATTCTTAGATTCATTTAATCTAGATATACTTAAAAAGTAAAATATTTATGTGTGTTTTTTTAAATTATTAAATACAAAAAATACAAAAATTTATTATATTTTTCACAAATATTTTATTTTTTAGATGCATCTAAAAAAATGACTAAGATATAAATAAATAAAAAAATTAAACAACAAAACACACCAAAAAAAAAGAAGAACTACTTTTAAAAATTCAAAGTCAAACAAAATAAATGTTGTTTAATTTAATTTTTTTTAAAAAAAGAAAAGAAATTATAAAATTTAAATTTATGAAGTGACCCATCTATAAAAATTCTCTACTAATTATATATGCCAAAAGTCTTTGAACAAATACACGTAATAAGATATTTAATGTACGCAAATATAATCCCTTTTTATTTTTAGAATTTCAAATTGATGTGGGATTACAAACAGGACCCAAAAAAAAAAATTTCAAAAACACAAAAAAAGAAAAATACTTACAATCAGGTAACCAAAGTAACGTCAACTATATATCCCCGAAATGTTTCATCCAAACCTTCCACCTCTGTTTCTCCCTGACCTATTATATTTGATCTCGAGTTGCCTATCTTCTTTTTTTTTTTTTTTTAATAAGGTTTTGTTAATGAGTGCGGCTAAGGCATTTGATATGAAATTTAAAATGTTTGTAAATGATGCATAAGAGAATGTATAACAAACAATATACAATCAATTTAAATATTATTAATCAATGCCCTTAGAGTAATACTATGAACCCACCCATATTAATTCAGAAATTATCTAAAATTTTTATTTTGTGATTCAAATTTATTCTTTATATAAATTTCACATTATATAAATTCACGCATAACCATACAATTGCATTCAAGATAAATTAGAGAAAATTAAGTGGATACCTGAATTGTTCATGCCATTAAGACACTTTTTAATCAAATCCGTTTATTATATAATTATTTTGCTAGATGAAATGTTAATGAATTAATAAGTACAACTAAACATTTAAGTTCCAATCTAAATTTCTTCTTAAAAATCTAAAAATACAACTGTGTTCAAATTCCTCATCAACTGACCTGTCAACAATGCCATTCTAGTAAGGGGTAACCAAAGGATTTATTATCTAAGAAGTCTCAAAGGTGAAATCTTACAAAAGTTAAACATCTAAAATTTTGAAACTATTAGAAGTTTCGAGATTAATCCAAGAATGCGTTAATTCGCTCAGGCACCCTTATAAAAAAAAAACAATGCCATTCTACCACATCAGCTCAAGTACTGAATCAATTCTCTTTTATGACTATAATAATACTAGAAAGAAGACAAAAGCAATAAAATAGTTCATGTGTGTTCGTCTGTGTATGAGAGAGAGGGGAAGAGAGAGAGAGAGAGGGGGGGGGCTTGGGATTGCGAGCCACAGTTTGAAACAAGCAAACCCTGCTCCCTCTCCCACTCCAAAACTCACATCAGTTGGCCGACACCCTGTTCCCTGTGACGCACCCTTTGCCTTGTCCTCATTATACACCCTTCCTCTTCTCATGCCCTTCTTTCCTACTTTTCTATTCTTCTTCTACTTCATTCACAGTAAAATTTGACAAAAACAAAAAGAAGGGTAATACTACAATAATTATTATACGTAAATAGGAAATTTTACTATACATATTCTTTAAAAATAAGGTATCATATGCATATTTAATTATATAATTTTTTAAATTATGATTAATTTTTTTAATTATGATTCATGTGATCTTTCGTTATACCTCATGTAATATTTAGTTATGACTTTTTATTTATTTATTTATTATTGTTATGACGCAGAAAGTATGAATTCTATTATTTTCTTCTATAATTATAAGGTGCATATGTACCACAGTCATTCCCTATATAAATGGATAATTATTTAGTAGTTTTAGAATCTTAACATTGTTTAACTAATAACGTAATGAAAAAATTTAAGATAAGATAATGCTAACTCATGATACTCTCAGTTAATAACATAGTGAGAAATTTTAAAATAAGACAATGTTAGCGAAAAATTTCAAGTGGAACAATGCTAATCCATCTCTGCTAGGTAATTGGAATAGGTAATTGGAAAACAAAAGTAGACTCACCTAGTGTGATTTGTAATTTTTTATTTATTGGGAGTATCGGGTAAAAAATGACACATAATATTTTAGAATTAACAATCTTTTTACATAAATTATTTTTTTATTAATTTTTTTTAAACACTAGACATAAAGACATGAATTTCACTACTATATTTATGTATGGTAATAAGAAAATCATATACAATAGTAAAAAGTTGAGATAAAAAAATTAAGTAAAAATTACAAATCAGTGGAGTAGTGAAAAATAATTATACTATTGACGAAATCTTTTTTAGTTTAATTCTAACACATAAGAAACATTATAACATATCAGAGTCGTAGAGATCAAATATTTTGGTCTTTAAAAGTGAAAATTTTGTTGTAAAAAATATTTAAGGATCAATTTTCATCGTTATGAGGATAGTCTCTAAAATATCATCCTGAAAATTCAAAAACAAGACTTTTAGAGACAAAATTTTAAAAATGTCACTAATAAATAGACTTTTAGAGACAAAATAATTTGATTTTAAAATAGTTTGTTATTTGAGATAAAAAATTTGGTCCAAAAATGATAATAATTCATCACTAATGTTCAATTTTCGTTGCTAAAAATATAATGACGACACTTTTCGCAACAAAAAATTTGATCCCTAAAAAATAATCTTATTCCTAAATTTTGGTCTTTAAAACTTTAAATTTTTAAAGTGAAAGACTTGCACATCATATACACAGAACATTTATACTACTACAAAAATATAAATATTTTCACTGTCCCGTTAATTTACAATCACTACAAAAAATTAAGGTTTTAGAGACCAAAGTTATTTTTTAGGGACCAAATATTGTTGTTACAAAAAGTATCGTTATTATATTTTTAACAACAAAAATTAGACGTTAGTGATGAATTATTATCCTTTTCAGACCAAATTTTTTATCTCAAAAAATAAATCATTTTGAGACCAAATTATTTTGTCCCTAAAAGTTTATTTATTAGTGACATTTTTAAAATTTTACCGCTAAAAACCTTATTTTTGACTTTTCAAAATGATTTTTTAACGATTATCTTTATGATGATAGAAATTAATTTCTAAATATCTTTTACAACAAACTTTTCACTTTTAAAAATTAAAACATTTAACCTTTAAAACTCTTATATATTATGGTGAATTTTTTCAAAAATTAAATTATATAAACATTAGAAAAAACAATCATTCCTTGGGTTACACTACTTCACTAGTTTCCATTAAAGTAATCCACAAAAATCCATGCCCACGTTCGCTACACCTTTCCATGCACGAAAAAAAAAGTCCCTCAGTTTTCGAACCATGACCATGTTCACTCCCCCCCCTCTCAAAACCTAGTCAACCGTTCTTTCTATATATACCTCTTTCTCCACACTCACTCCCCTCAGGGTCCAGCTCCATACATTGTGAGCTTTTTTCCCAATACTTCTCTCTTTCCTTTTTTTTTTAATCTCTGAAAATTTAAAACCTTTCATTGGTCATCATCATCAACCAGACTTAACCACCATGGCTGGGCTAAAGAAAGAGTTGAAGAGCAGTGTCTATGGCACTTCAAAGAGAAAGTCTGGCCATGGCTTCTCAAGGAAGTGTGCTTCCTTGGTTAAGGAGCAACGTGCCCGAATCTACATCCTCCGCCGCTGCGCCACCATGCTTCTCTGCTGGTACATCCAAGGAGATGACTAGCCCACCCACCACCACCACCACCCTCCTCCAATCTTTCTCCTCCCAACTCCATTTTCCCTCATTTTCTTTCGTTTTCTTTCACTTTCCTTCTTTTTTAACCTAATCACTGACACGTCTTCCAACCAGGCTTCACCTATAGATTCTCCAGGGCAGGATTGCAAGGCAGGTCTAAAACAAGCAATCTTGCCCTTGAGAATGCTATCAGTAAAGATTTGTAGGGTAGATGTGTTTGTGATCGGCTTTGTCCATTAGTCCGGTCTGGTTTGGTTTTATGGGGCTGTGTAGGGTTGTGGCCTTCTTCTTATCACTCTTACTACCTTTTGTGCCCTTCTCTATTTTTTACCTAATTGGTTATATAGGCCAATGGGTTTTTTAGGGCACAAGGGAGGAGAGAGGTTTACGGCTGCATTCCACCGCTTTTTACCGAACCACCCGGCAAGCAACCATGCAAGAACTCTGACGCGGCTGACATGGCGGGGTTCAGCTCATCATCCTCAACGTTGCTCTGAAAATATATATAGCCGCTTAACAATTTATGTATAAGGAAGTCTAAGTGCACAGAATAAGTTTATAAAATGGAGCACAAATGTGATGTAAAGGGTGTGCCCTATATTACATCTGCGTCCTATTTTGTGAAATTTTACCATATGCTTTTAGCACAGTTGTTTATGTATTACGGGCTCTCCTCTCTATGTATATTTTCTTCTTTGTAATTTTCTCGGCTTCCAAACATGGAATGAAATAATGAATACAATAAGAACATGGAGGGGAGTGGCATATGGTACTGCATGTGATGTACTAATAAGTTGCAATGTGCAACGCTTCAAGTTATGATATACTTGTTTGTACTGTGGCTAGTATCAAGTTATAAGAATAAAAGGTTTATATTATTATTATATGTGATCTTTGGATGACTAACGATGATTGTACAACATTTTGATCATGTTCTACGGTGAAAAACTGGACAACAACAGCTGTAATTGAGATTATGTTTTTGAGAATCGTAAAAATGGAATCATTGGATGAGAGTCACATTTTGTGCTTGAGATCATGTCGTTGAGAGGCATAAAAATGGAATCATTAGATACTCTTGCATTTTAAGTCATCATGAATAGTAGTTGATTTACCATAAATGAACATGAAAGGAGATATAGCCATGAATGGAATCATTAGATTCAGTCAAATTTACTCAATAAGATTCAATTGTCAAGCACCAAGTCTACATACTTGAAAAGAAAAAAGAAAAGAAAAAAAAATATATCCAGAATTTAAAATTTAAGGCCAAGTTCTTCATAGTGCCCACAACAAGAAGTTTAAATATACATTTTTGATATAAGATTTTGAGAAAAAATTTTGATAATTTTTCTAGGTGTATAGACTTTTCCATTGTCAAGACTTAAGAGGTACGAAATTTGTGTACATGAAGTTTGATCATAAAATTGTTGCCACATTAATCAAATCAAATGCCTAGCCTGCTCAAGATATAATATAAATAATAAAATTCATCTCTTTATTAGAGTAGGCAACAAATCTTGTGTCTTAATTTTTATGTTAAACATGTTATCAGTATTTACTAGCTCAATTCTGTTATCAAAAATTAAATATAAAGTGTGATATACTTGTTTTTAATGTGACACTTGTATCAATATTGTAAGAATAAAAAATGTATTATATTATATTATATTATATTATATGTGATCTTTGGATTACTAATGAGAGTATTGTATAATTGTACAGTCCTTTGAGCATGTTCTGATGGTAAAAAGAAAATCTGGACACCAACAGCTGTAAATTGATTCTCTGTAAATCGAGACCATATGATGTTGAGAATCAAAAAATAAATAAATAATTAAAAAAATGGAATCATTATCATGTTGTTGAGAGGCAAAAAAATGGAATCATTAGATACGGTGTCGTTTGAAGTTGACATGAATAATAGTTGATTTATCAACATCTTCTCTGTTATTACATGAATGAATATGAAGGTGATAGCTAGGAATGGAATCATTAGATTTGATCACCTTAGCAAAGATAGATTCTGTTGTCAAGAGATGTACAAACTTTGTACATGAAGTTTGAGCATAATTAAAAGTAGAGTAAATTACATTAACTATTCTTAAAGTTTTGAAAAAAAAAATATAATAAGCTCAACAAATTTAATATAATTAGATCGATCTCTTTTTAAATAATAAGGTAGACACATTGATAAATAATAAAATATATATTTTCGTATGAAAAAAATGACGACATCATTTTTCATCAAACGATTAACAAATTACTAATGAAATGAGGCTAAATCTTATGCAAATCAAAACATTGAAAGAGCTTAATATAATTACGCCAAACTTATAGGAATCAGTGTATTTTCTTTAAAACTCAAGGTAGATTAGTGTAATTTACCCTTGAAATTATAGTGGTGCTAAATAACTTCAATTTTTCATTTTCTTTGCATCCCTAGCTTCTTTTGGACCCCCATCCACCTAAAAATTACTCCCAAATGAGCATCTACTTTAATCCCAACTATAGCCTTACTTTTTAGGACTCCAACTCTAGGGGTGTAATTTTGGCCCGGCCCGGCCCATGTTGGGCCTTGTATGTTCCCACCAAAAATTGGGCTAGACCGAGCCGGCTCACGGGCCAAAAAATTAGGCCCAAGTCCAAGCCCAGGGGCATTCGGACTTTGGGCGAGCTAATGGGTCGGGCTTGGGTTAAGGCTTGGGCAAGCCTAAGCAATTTTTTTTTAATTTTGTCCATCAAAATTTTATTATTTTCCATTAAAAATAACACTGGGCCTTGCGCGAGCCGGACCTCGAGCTGAGCTTTTGAGTAGGTTTTGAGCGGGCAGATGGGTCGGGCCACAGGCTGGGCTTCAAAACAATGGCCCAAGCCCAAGGCCTCGAGTTGGGCTTGGGCCCAAGCCTACATTGGCCGGGCCCAGCTCGGGCAACCCATGGGTCACGGGCCATTTTTACACTCCTATCCAACTTCCACTATCCCTTTCCTCTAAGAGTAATTATTCAGTAATTCTAAAATATGGATATGTGATATTTCATAACATTATGATTGGTGGAGAAAGTGAATAGGTGGGGTATTGTGTTGGGTGATTAGGGAACATGAAAGGGACATATTGAATGGTAATTGGTTAAGGAATATAGATACGTGATACTCCAAAAATGTTAAATAATTTCCCTTCCTCCAATAGCTCCCTTTCTAATCTCCCCACCCTCTTCCACTTTTGGTAGCCCCTCTTTCACTAGCCCTCACATTTTTCCTCGCAACCTTTCAACGTGCAAAAAAAAAGAGATTGATAGAGAGAAGAAATGGGAGTGAAAGGTATAGGTGATGGCCAAGAGGGGCCGAAAAGGGGCAAAACAAGCTAGATGAAGTGGTTGGTGAGGAGCAGGGTTACGGTTAAAATTAGGGATTGAGAGGTTAGAGATAGAAATAAAATTATAATTTTATAATAAGATAAATTTATAGTTTAAAAAATATGAAAGGGTGGGTCCAAATTGAATGATTAAATTCTTCATCTTGAACTTGAAATAAATATTTTCCTATTTTCAATGCTCTTGAATTAAAAATCTCCATTGCAATTTCCATGGATTATGATATGCCTGAATCTTGTCTTTTCCAACCTGCTTTTTTAAACTTGTGGCCCATTTTCATATTCCTTCATTCTTTCGGTTGTTTTGCTTCTAAAATGGTTGATTTGCTCAATTTGGAAACCCATTAATCTATAGAATTTGGAAACTTTATATCAGCATCTCCAATTTTATTGTTATTATTTTTTTAATCTAAAAATTTACTTAAAAGTTTGATCTCGTATAGAACACTCCAATTCTTATTCCTTCTATTTTTTTCATCAAATCTATTTGAAAATTTTCATATTTACTCTAAAAATCCGTTTTAACTATTTTTGATGAAAGAAAATCATCTTCAATCTTTACTATTTAAAAATTTCATCAAATTTGAATAGAATTATCACTATTAAATATTTGGTGAAGAATTTGATACATCTTTGATTTGATGAAAATTTTACCTCCCTTGATTTGATACAAATTTAATGAAATAATTAGATTTCATTTTAGCTCTATATTCACCAAATCTGTGGTCTAAAGTGGGCTGTTATCTCCATGGAATTTAGTGGGCCAGCTAACTGGGCCCAAAGCACAGGTGGGTTATTTGAAATTGTTGACAGTAATTGTTAACACACTATCTATTGGTCCGATGAGAATCCTTCATCATGATTTTTTGCAATAATCTTATTGCTTTACTTTTTATCATAAAAGTATGTACTTCAACGACTCGAGCTTAAAAATGAAGTAAAATAACATTAAAATACCACACATTTTCTTCAAACCACTCCTTAAAACAAGGTAGTTTGCTCTAATCTTTAAACTTTAGATAAGTTATCATAGCAAGATTAGGGCAGAGAGATTTAGGAGTCATGTTGTAGGAGCTTCAAACAATCTAAGTGAGTCTAGCTGGAGCTGAAGTAACCAAATCAGTTAGCAAAGTAGTCAAAGTTTATTGGGTTGGTTTGGAGTGTCCTAAAAAAGTATACTTTTTATCTTTTTACGAAAAGATGTGCAAAAAAGTAGAGAGGTGATGTGATGAAAAAAAAATAAAAAAATAGATTATATAATAGATCCCAAACTAGGCCTTAATCTGTTATATTGACAGTTACTTTGTTAAGAGAGAGTGTTTGTAATGAACTATTTTTTCTCATTCTCTCACTCTGTTTTTCTTTTTCCTTGAATCCTTTTTACTTTCTCTCCAATACCTACCCAAACTTAGGCCTTAGGCCTCGTTTAGGAACAACAAATTTTAACCAAAAAATCAATATAAAAAGTCAATCTATTCTCTTCACTCTTTTACACGTCTCTTCATAAAAGTTAAAAATCACTAAAACAAAATAAAGTCCCAAACGAATCCATAGTTTCTCCTATTTCCCACTCTGTTTCCTGCAGGAATTCGGGTTTTATATTTTGGTCTTCATCAGAATTTGAATAAATTAAACAAGTGCATCAACAATTTCTAGGAAGAAAAACTAAAAAATACAGAGGATGATACACTGGCTTATGGAGCAATTATATTCTGTAAGTTTTAACCAAAAAATAAATATGTATCTTCTGTAAGGTTGTGCCACTTTTCAAGACAACTCAACTGTTCAATCATTATACAGTACAAATAAAGAAATTTGATAACCGTAGAGAACAAATGACAGGGTTCAGCTGATATACTTTGTGAACAAGTCGAAGCACCATTTCTGAAATAAGTGGAGCGAGGTAGAAATAACATGTACCCGTATGCTTCAAACGGGTGATGAACTTCAGCCTGATATCCCATCCGTGCAAGAGCAGGTACATGCAAAAGCGTGTTAAGTGGAATTCTGACATCATTTGTCAATCCAATCCTTGAAGAGCAACATCATATACAGAGGGATGTTCACAGCAGCAATGACTATAAGTGATCGAAATGTTCGTACCAATCTCTGTATGACCTTTCTTGTCTTTGATTTGCTTGTTCTAGATGGTAATTTTACCATATCATCCAACCCTACCTGTACATTCACATCCATAGAAACAGAGGCATCCGATTCCTGCGACATCTGTTTTTTAGCTGTTGGCCGAATCACTGCATTTCCCCTGTTAAATAAAATAAAGAACCAAGTAAAAATCACAGCTTATTTGAGTGTGACTCAAGCATAAACCTTTTTGTTCAGTGCAACAGAACCCTAAAAAAGATTGCACTTGCAGTGGTACTAATAAAAAAGATTTTGAGAATTATACAAAAATAGTAAAATCTTACAAAGATAAAAATAAAAGTATTCCACCAGAAGTGCCACTATAATAGCATGCCTATTTTTCGCACATCACATATAATAGCATAAGTGCCATTATGAATCAACTCCCAATAAAACTACCCTACATATGTAACATTTTAGCAGTCTTTTTAGTTTTAGTATTCTTCAGTTTCATTCCTCAGTCGAACATACCATGCATAGTAGAATAAGTGCCACTATACATCACCTCCCAATAAAACTACCTCATTTCTTGCATCTGTTATTTTTTAGCAGTCTTCTTAGTTTTTAGTATTCTTCCGTTTCATTCCTCAGTTTTATCGCCACACGTTCATTGAGACAATCAATGTTTAACACCAAAGGAAATTTCTATTCCCCAAAATGGCCAACCAAATTGCTACATCAATAGTTAACAAATGATGTTGCAAGAAGAGGCAACACAAATTGGTGAAATCATTTTGCTGATCCCAAAATAAAAAGCTCTGTGAATCTTTTGTGCATGCAATGGAAAATTGAGCCTCACACATGGAGATAGAGACATTCCACTGCTTAGATGTAAGAGTATAAAAATACACCTCGCAAGGCATTAGAATAATGTAGTACTTACCAAATGTGTAGATAGCGTGTGTGTGTGTGCGCGCGCGCAAGATTGCCCCTAGTAGTGCATAATATGCTGAGAGAAGCTAGTATGAATGACAAACTATTACTTATTGTGGTTACCTTTTATAAGATTCATGGACAGCAATTCTAGAAAACTGTGAACAGCCACCATGACACAGGCATCCATATGGAAATTACAGCATCAAAGTCTGCTCACTGTAATTGGTCTAAACAACTGTACATACCTTTCCAACGAGCTCCCCTCATTTGAAACTTTAATAGGGGTCTTCAAGGTTTTTTTAATAAGATGCATCGATCCTTCAGCATCCCAAACCATCTCATACTCACAGTTCTCATCTTCATTTTTCTCTTTTTCTACACGTCTGAAAAAGTTGCAGCTAATTAGGCTTCTGATATACCCCATTAAACGACCTAAGTGATGTGAGAAGCCTATGCCTTTTGTTGGCCAAAGGAGGAGGGCAAGAAGGGTCAGAACAAAAAGACAAATATACCTGCCATTTTTAGCAAATGTAGTTCAGAACTAGCCAGCAATCCCCAAAAAAATAAAAATTTTGGCAAATTAAAAAGGGAGAATTACAACTCAGCCCATCTTTTCAAAAATATTTTCAAATTGATGGTAAAGTTTATAAACATTAATAATTAAATTTATAGACTTTTCCACTAATCTGTAAATATTTTCTAAATTTCCCAGAGATGTAATTTTCCCAATTAAACTGCCCATCACTCATACATCAAAAAATAGTAAAATTACCATATGTAAATGTGCATTTGCATAGGAAGAAAGCAGAGATGAGTTAATACTGCATTTTCTTTGCTCGATACATTATGCAATGCATGATTACTTGCAGATAAAAGCATGAACGACGGATACAGGTTACCCTGCTGCCAACTTATGGTCCCTAGCGTATGCTGCAGAATACCAATCACAAATCAAATGATAAGCGTAAGAAATACATTCTCAGAACTCGCTAGGAGGTCAAGGATTCAAGTCTCTGGCCTCCAATGTACCCAAAGAAAAAAAAAGGTAAAAAGCTATGGCCTCCGATGTACCAAGAGAAAAAAAAAAGAAAAGGAAAAGACATATGTTCTCAGAACTCAGGTTCTTACCTCTCTCACTTGCCCATACTTTGATATGTGGGTCACTGTGCACTGATCATGGTCATGACCAGACAAGATGAGTACCTGACAAAATTACAAGTTAGTTTACATGAAAGCAGTTACCCTTTATCATTATCTCCTTATGCTATGTTTGATTCATTGGAATGAGCTGGAATGGAATATTCATTCCATCAAAATGTCCATTCTTACGTTTGGTTCACTAAAATAGTTAAGAAAAATGCATTGCAAATGGATTCATCATTTTACGGGAATGGTCATTCCATAAGAAGGCTAAGGAATGACCATTCCATTTCATTCCAAACCACCTTCATTCCAGTGAACCAGACACTACCTTACGTTTTCTTCTCTCTCTCTCTCTCTCTCTCTCTAATTTTTTCCCCTCATGATCATGAATCAAGGAAGGGAGAGAAAACCTACAGGTTTGACCATATCCAGCAAGTTGTTTGATGTCTCTTCAGTGAGATAATTTTGGTACCTGCACCAGTAAATCAACTATCAAACTGAATGTGCAATCACCAGAAGCAGAAACACACAAAATAATGTGATTTCAACATGGCCGCCAAATACAAAAATGAGACAAGAAGTGTACATTATTTCTTGACTCCGAGCAGCACGGGAAACCCTCTGAAGAAAAAGAAACAGCATGTGTAAGTTCAACTACTGACAGGACCATGTCATTTTGATTCAGAACCTACTAACTCACCACCACAATGAGAATTGCAATGATGCCCCATAAGTAAATGCATTAAAAAAGTGAGATTCATAAAAGAGAAAAATCTCTACAGCCATTCCTCCTCATACACCAGGAAATGTTAAAATAAAATTTTGTACCTGATTGATAATTGGGGAAGAACGGTGTGGACCACAGGAGGTCCAATCCGGCCGGTACAATGGGATATGAGTCAATAGAACCCTTGGAGTCGAACTACCATCTGGACAAATATGAAGTACATTTTATGATATATCATAAGTGCCAAATTAACAATATATTGAATGATAAGTCAACAGCGTATACCCTTTGAGACATTTTTGACAAAATCCCAGGATGCAGTCGTCAAGTTTCCTTGTGAATTCCCTGTAGATAAAAGATCACTCTTTTAACACAACCAACTAATAATCGATACCAATGAGAAGAATCCATTTACACCCAGAACCATTAAAAAATATCATGTGCATCTAAAATTTGAATGAAACACATTTCATGCAATGCACTTTAGGCTAGGTGCTTAGAAGTGACAAGGAGAATTCGGAAGACGATGAGGTTGATGCCAAAAGGACAGTTATTATCAGTCAGACTCACCAAAATAATAGGTCAGCCTAAGATTTCCTCACCACTGTCATTCTCACAATGTCTCTTATTAACTATTAGTCAGCATAGGAATCCAGCCAGGCCATGCCATTCCTCACTTATTAGAAATCAACTTCAACAATACGTGAAAAATGAAAGTAAGGTAAAAACCAAGGGGGAAAATAAGTTTGATAGAGAGAATTTTATAGAAATTAAGCCAAACAGATTGTACATTTGATCTCTTATTTTGTCAATGACAAATATTTAGAGTCCTTGGACATCCCAATCAAATCAATCCACAAGAAGTCTATCATCTGCAATACACACCACCCAAAGTAACATAGCTGCACAAAAATCAATCTTAGAAATGGAGAATCAGAATTATGGCCATTTTGTATACCCTGTTGAGGTCTGGAGATCTCAGCCGGCATGGTCGCTATTTGCTGAATTTAAGCCATAGGAATTTCCAAGTACAAACAGCTTGGACAAGTTGAGTATGAGTGATAAATTTATTTACCATGCGTTCTCAATGATTTTTCTCAACTCTCATTCTAGCTCCACCCCCTAGCAATGAAAACACTACAAATAAGTTTTGATGGGGGAGAAGACCAGTGCTTTAACGTTCTTGTCCATTGAAAATGTACAAAAAAGGGACTTGAGTTGAGCCGCCAGCTTATTAGAATGGTTTAAAGTTTAATTTTTGCCAATAATACAGTACCTATAATATCATGGTAAGGTTTCATTGCTAGCAAAAATAATTGGTTCTACAAGTGAAGATGTGTAATCAAAACGTAACTAATCAAAAAACTTCATTAGCACCAATAAACTTGCCAACTTGCATTGATAACTGCAGGCTACAAGCTACTCATTACATACAAAACAAAAGTAAACAACCTATCAAATTCCTTGAGGTATTCTGTGTATAGGGGAATGTAACAATTTTGTCCTTTCTTTCTATAATTATATGGGAGAAAGAAACATACGGTGACAGATGATGAAAAGTTAACAATTGAAGGTGTCCTTTACCATCCAGAGTTTGAGCATCAACGGCAATGAAATCCACATTTCCAACTGTAAATCGATAGTTCCTTGAACGAAATTCTTTCTCATAGCGTTTAATAACCTATACAAAGGTAAATAAAAGCTAATAAACTATGAAGGAACCATGGTGCAACAACAATTGATAATACCAAAGGGTGTATCAATGATTATCAACTCTGTGTGGAAGTATTATTTTTTATACAACAGATTAGGTTAATATGGGCATACAAGTCATGATACTGCTGAATAAGGGCATATGAGTCATGTTACTGCCGAATAAAAGCCTTCAATTTTCAATTTCTATGCATGAAAAAAGAAGTAAATGAGATAATTATATGATTATGTGCATCCATAATCATCCTCAACTTACCAACATTAGTTTCCTAGTTGGGATAATTTAAAATGAATATATTCCCTAGGGTGAAATTAAGGTGAGTTGAGCTAAGCCTAGTAAGTAGTGCAGTGATGGGATGGGCTTGGTTTAAGTTTGCAGTGAGCCAAGTTCAGTACAAGCCTTTGACATTGCGTTTTGAGTTTGACAAGTAGCTACGTCATCTAGCTCACCTACCTACCTTAAGGGATATGCATGGTTTAAGCCCCAGTATAGGAAAACGCAGTCATGCAGACCACGAGACGGGCATTGGGTTCCAAAAACTTCAATGTGCAACTGTAAAGGAGCAATTATTATAGTTATATGAATCAAGGTTAGTCTCTCTTCAAACGTTTTATTTATTTATTTAAATGTAGGTAGGGCAAGGAATCAAGCCAGCTGGAGAAAAGACAAACTAAATGGGGACTAGGCTTGTAGATTAGTAGGTAGGGCAAGGTATTTCTAGGGAAAATGCCCTATAATTTGTTGTTCAATCTGTTGTTCAATATTGAAATGATCAGAGAAACATTGGAATTGGAGAGAAAATACACACTGCCTAGACATTTTTCCCTTTTGATAACAGGGTCAAGGAATAACAAGTAAACGTACCTCTGGCATACGAGAGTGAGAAGCTGCATAGCCAATATCATGATTTCCAGAAAGGTAGTATACTTGGGTGTTTGTACTTCTTTCAAGCATATTCAGGTTAAAAATATGCTTAAAACGACTCAAAGATTCCTGCCATCTATTAAACAATATCAATGGCTCCACAGTTAGAAAACTAGCAATAGCAATGCTTGCGAAATTAATTGAGATTAATCATCCTTGTATGAAATAACAAACAAAGCAGAGAAGTAGATTGTATAGCATTAAATTTGGCACAAGTAATCACTCGGATCAAAAGAAAGAGACATTGAAAGTAAATAAAGCAACACGAGCATAATATTTGAATGTTACAATAAGATAATAGTTACTGACGAAGATTCCAACATCCAGTACAGAAACAACAACCTTACTTTCCAATCACACTCAACCACTAAAATGCAATGCTATGTCTCTCAGTTGTTTGCCCCTAGTTGTTAAAAAAATAAATATCCAAAAGAGCTTTGTACCTGTTTGGAAAAACATAAAATAGCTTTTAAGATTATGTCTTTTTAGATCATTATTGGATTAAAATGCTTTGAATAACTTGTAAAAATGTTTGATGCGGCTTTTTTGATAACATTTGAACAAGTGGGAAGTGTTTGGCAAATAATCCAAAACATAGTTTTTGGTTGTGTAAAGTTTGAAATGCCCGTAGTCTTTTTGAACATGACTACTTTTTAGAGGGGGTAAGCCTGTAATTATGAAAATGCTGAAGGGCGTTTTTGTCCAATAATCCAAAAGTTAAAAACGTTGGGGTCTTGCTAATGACAGCCCTAAGGGCAGTTAATAACAAGAAGCACAAAACGTCAAAATATTTATAATCCCAATACACTTTCCACATATCCCAAAACACTTTTACATATCTTTATACACTTTTTACATGTTTTAATATACTTTTTACGCATTTTCTAACACTAAGGTATGTTTTTAGCATTTTCCAAAAAGTTAAGCTAGACAAGCACCCCCTATGTAGCTTAGAAAAAGGTAGTTTTTTTGCTAAAAATAAGCTGGTTAAGTTCAGGGTTTTTAAGAATGCATTAATTGAATATAAACTTCCTCCACTATTATAGAAAGTAGGGAAAAAAAAAAAATGTATAGTATTAAAGAATTTTTATTATTTTTTTATAATGAGACTAAGGCCCATTTGGGAATTGGCTATTTTAGTTGGCTTTTTTTTTTACAACACAAAATGCAGAAAAATAAAGAGAGTGATGTGACAAATTGTAGTGGCTTTTTGGCTAAAAACTAAACTCCCCAAACGGGGCCTAAAAATGCCCCTTTTGACATTTCCTTATATATATATTTTTTTTTATCTACTTTCTTTTTCTGGACTTTTTCATCTCCCACACGCATTATGAGTTACTCTTTTGATATTTCATACAATTATTTTTTCGCAAATTAACAAAATGCAACACTAATTTTCTTTTCATTGACATAGACAACATAATAGTTCCAGATAATGAGACTCTATAATGGGTTCATTTGGTGAAATTTATAAACAAAAAAATTTTAAAATTTTTCATGCAAGTTTGATAATATGTAGAAAAAGTTGAACTTGTTTGGTTAAATAAATTGTCACATAGCTTTTTGTTCTATAAATATTCAAAAGTCTTGTCCGTATGGTTCAATAAGTTATTAATTTAAAAAAAATGTCAACGAAAAAAAGTAGATAAAAAAATGTAAGGAAATGTCAAAAAGGGTATTTTAATCTAATTATATAAAACAAGCATTCTTTAATACTATACATTTATTGTTTTTTCTACTTTCTATAATAGTGGAGGAAGTTGATACTACTTTCTATAATAGTGGAGGAAGTTGATACTCATTTGACGCATTCTTAACAAGCAACAAAACCCAAGTTATATAAGATGAATGCAATAAGTTGTGCCAAACGCCTTCCACCAGCTGTTTTAAAGCTATAATCTAAATAACTCTTTGTAGGTTGGTAGGATGGCCATACCTCAAAGAACCAATAAAAAAATTCAAGGTGTATGGTATATTTGGGAAATAAATTGATTGGCATCATTTCTTAATTCATCAAAAAAGCAATTGATATTTGAAAATTTTGAAAAGAAATATATAGTGACCGAAAGGCATTCATTATTGATTCACAAGCAGTTAATTCAACTTTCAAGAAGAATTATGGATTCCTTACTCTTCATTAGATAAAGAAGGTCCCCCATCAAAGTAATCACCCAAGAACAAAATCACATCAGGTTGGAAAGGCAATATAGATGCCAACATTGATCTGCGCATGAACAAATCTGTGTAGAATTCCACAATCTCCAGAGTCAGTGATTTTGGAGCAAGAGGAAGGGAGGTTCTATCCATGACCTATTAAAAAATACTTGACCTGTAATATACTGTAAATGTGAATATGACCAAGAAAGGGACAACAAATGAAAAAAAAATTATAAAATTAACCTGTGGATCAGTAAGAACAGCAACTTTCACGTAATCACTTGAATATTCTACTTCACTCATCTGAAATAGCAAGCATAAATGTTAGAATGTTTCAATGAATGTACCCATAAATACTAGTATGCAATTGTATATGAATAAAAAAAGGTAAATTGGCTACATGTATCTGTAGTTGTTGCAATTGAAAAGCTCAGCCCACACTTCTTAAAACCTAGGTATTAAGGAGAGGAAAACTGGAACCTTATAACCAACACAGATGGAGTAACTCCAAGCAATGTGGGACATATTCTAACAAACTCTCCTGGGCCACAACATTTAGTAGCCAGACAAAGGACACACCAGTCACAGGCCCAACCAAGCTCTGATACCAAATTGAAAAACCCAACCCACACTTCTCCTTAAAACCTAAATATTAAGGAGAGAGAAACTGGAGCCCTATAACTAGCAGGCAATGTGGGACACATTTCAACAATTGCAACCTGTTGCATGGTAACTAGAACATAGGACAGTGATCTTATGTTCATATAATGGCATGCTGAAAGGAAGCCACAAAAAGGTTTTCTAGCTTCCACTTGCTATGACTGTGTAGGTATCTACAAGCCACATCAGCTTTGCGTGTCTTCTAGGTTGGTATGAGCAGACCATCGCCTCTCTGCGAATCATGGTAAGCACTAAGACATCGCAAGATCACTAGCAATGGGACTTGGGGGAGGAGAGAGTCAAGGCAGGTTTAAGAGAAAGAGTGGGTCGTGGACCGCTCTATGGTGAAGAGGAGCAAGTAAATGTTAAATGTGTCCGTTGCATACATGGAAGTTCCCTGTATATACGATGGGGAGTCAAGGGGAGCCAATTTGCCAATTTAGCTAAAGACACATGGCTTACCTCTCTCGGCTAGGCAAAATTGAGGGAACTCAGTCTGCAACCTTAGCATAACCACAGGAGATGTGTCATATGCAGACAATTGAAGTAAAACCATTTTTTGTCTATTCTATGTGTGCTAGTCAGCTAGTTCCTATGGTCATCTATGGATTTGGCTTTAGCTACAAGAATATTCATTGATGACTTTATCAAAATTTGACAATTAAGTTATCTCCAACACTCTTGAAAATAGATAGAACCAATCAGGTTATCTCCAAAACTATGGAAAAAAGATAGAACCATGATTTCGCCATGCATTGTATGCCTAACTTTCTCAAGATTGGCCCTCAAACACAAATGTATTTAGCTAGCTGGCAGCTATAAACCTAAAATGCACTTCCACATTTAAGCTTGCAATCTTTGTGGCTTTTAGTTAACAAATGTCCAGATAATTGTCCACAATATCAGTACAAGGGTCCATCACATTCACACCATCTCACACCAACTTTTTTTTTTTTTTTGCAACACCATATGTTGGATAATTTTGTTTTTTTTTTATAAATATATGTTGGATAAATTTTTCATTCGTTCTGATCATATTACTGCCTCTTTAACTTCTACTAAAAATCTTCTTTTGCTAATCTAAAACTGGGATTCCCGAATTAGCCATTGGGGATCCAATACAGCAATACAATTGCCAGCCAATCCCATTAACTAATCTCCAATAAAATCAATTCTATACAATAAAATCTACGTCATAATTTGATTTGTCAGCAGTACAATACATAGTTCTATAATTAATTTGCCCAAGGCACTAGAAAAAATACAATCACAACCGTAAACCCAGCTCAAATCAATACAGTGTCAAAATATTAAAAAATCACTACAAAAAATGAAAACCCACTACAAATGTCTGAAATGAATTCACCACCAGATTCAAAAACAATACCCATTAAAATAAATAAATAAATAAATAAATAAAAAACCATGAACTTGTCTCAGCTCAGATCACGAATAAGTTTATGAAAAAAATGTTCAAGAAAGAGAGATTTATATAAAACTATTACCGATCGGCGGCGGAGATGAGGCCAAGAACAGGACCAAATAGAGGGAACCCAGAACGCGAACATCTCACCGTAGAGAAGGGTCGCCGCCCAAATCAGGCACAGCACAGCCGTCAGATTCCACATCCTCCTCCTGCGCCCCGCCGTAGTAGCATATCACTTGTTCAGTTTCTTCGACTCCATTGCACCGTATTTGTCGCTTTGTTACAAGGTGTTTGTTTGACCACTTTCTAAAACACTTAAGAAATGTAATCAAAATTATTAAGGTTGGTTTGGCATGCGCCAGTCATATAAGTCAAAATAAATAATTTTATTTAAATAGGATATCACATTTAATTTATAATTATTTTATTTTTTCTCATTAAAGTTTAAAAATTAAAAAAAAAATCTGAAACGCGATTGTTTAGTCCCAAGCTAAAATAATGAAAAAGTCAAAAACTCAACTCACATCCCAAACGAGCTCCAAGGAAATTTGGCCAAAACTCTTTTATTGGACTTTTTTTTAGTAAAAATGATAGTTTAATTTATTTTACTTCATAAATTTTTTAAGGAGAAAATATATAATTGAGTGAGGATAAAGTAAAATATATTTTCTTTTTTTTCCTTAGACAATATTGCACTAACATGTTACTGTTAAACAGAATAATATGTTACTGTTATTGTTTACATCAATTTTGACGGTAATAATTTTTTTTTTTATAAAGAATTTCATAGTCAAGTAGATCTTATTTGATAAATTTTGATGAGATGATTATAAAAATACTAATTTTATTAAAAACTGACATTTACATCAAAAGTTATATTATTTTAAAATTTAATATTTTGATAATAGTTGTATGTATTAGAATTTTCAAGATTTTTTTTTGTGTTTATTCTTAATGTATTAAAATTTTTATTATGAGATTTGTTTTTTGTGGCTAAAATAGCCAAAAAAGCCTGAAAAAACCCTTGCCAAACGGAGGCTGAATAATATGTTACTGTTATTGTTTACATCAATTTTGACGGTAATAAATTTTTTTTTTATAAAGAATTTCATAGTCAAGTAGATCTTATTTGATAAATTTTAATGAGATGATTATAAAAATACTAATTTTATTAAAAATTGACATTTACATCAAAAGTTATATTATTTTAAAATTTAATATTTTGATAATAGTTGTATGTATTAGAATTTTCAAGATTTTTTTTTGTGTTTATTCTTAATGTATTAAAATTTTTATTATGAGAGAATTTTGACAAAATTTCCTAAAAATTAACCACAAATATAGGAAATTCAGTTAAAATTATGTTTTATTAAATAGTTACACAGAAGTGATAAATCATGTATATATATATATATATATTTTGTGTCAAATAATAAATTTTCAACTAAGTTTTTAATTTCTTGCAAAATTTTTTTTAAAGAGTTTAAATTTATAATAAAAATAGTTACTTATAATAAAAATTTATATAATATTTTTTTTGCAAAAATAATGAAATAAAAGAGTAATATATTTTTCAAATTGTTAGACCATTTTAATATCTTTTATTTATTTATATATTTTGGTCATAAATGGAGTTTCATTACTTTGGTAACCTCTTGGTCATGAATAGAGATTAATTAGAATTCATGACTTTGAGGGTGAGTTAATTTTGGAGTTTCTCCATTTTTTCTTGGTTAATGGTTATTATTTTGGTGTAACCATTTTCTTTTTATTATTTGGAGTCTCTCTATTTTCTCTTATTTAATAGTCATTATTTTTTGTGTAACTATAAGGTCCTAATGGCTTATAAATAGTTTCTCTCACCCACTATTTTCACCAACACAAATTAATAAATTTTATAATTTTTTTATTTATTTATTGATGTGACACCCATACTTGATGTAAGTCATTTTTTTGATTTCTTAAATTTTTTTAGTGTGAGAAATCAATTAGTAAAATATATTTGTAAGAATTATTAGTTTGTATAAAAAAATTTATTTATTGCATGACAATCTATTTTTTTTTAAAGAAGGAATCATAACTAGTCTTACCATTTTCAATCTATGAAAATGTGGGGACATATTTCTTGAATGACAACACGTGGCCAATGTGGCACCGAAGTGCCAGCCGAAGTGCCACGTGTCTTAGTCATGACGCCGAGATTATCTTAGTTAGGCCGAGGTTATCTGCGGAGATGCCGGAGTCCGAGATAAACGGATAAACTATAAGAGTCTTAGAATGGGGAAGGACCTCAGTCTGGATAAGGATAAAGCTCTTAGGGAGTTTATCTTTATCTATTTAAGGGTCCAGGATGAGCATTAAGCACCATCGTAGGGAATTAGGTTAGTGCTGGTTATAAAAGTAAGGCACCATCGTAGGTCTAAGGTACACTTTTGATATTCTGGCTAGTGAGTTAAGCACTAATTATTATCTTTGAGAGATAACTGAGTATTGACTTGATCGTTGGAGTGCTCTTGGGTGGACGAACCACCGCCGAAGTCTTTTCTTTCTATGACAAGTTGTTTGGGCGTAATCTATTCTGCCAATGTTCTCTAGCTGAGTACCTACTTGGCAGTGTGGTCAGAAATTAGCATACACAATTTGGCGTCGTCTGTGGAAAAGAAATGAAAATAGATAGCCAACGACGGACAGAAAGAGAAGATCAGGGACGACATCTCTACTGGAAGTAGTAAACACTTTGATCCCAACGTAGAGGAGGTTAAGTGCAACAAACAAACTCGGGATCAGAATCCCGGAGAGAAAGACGTCGGCCAGGAGGGCGACGTACCAAAGAAGTCAGACCGATGCGGGTATTATAACGAAGATAACCTCCAGGTATGGAAAGATAGATGCCTACGGAGGGACGGTAAGATGAAGGGAATGACGAACAAATTGGCAAACCTGCAATCAGTCGTCAATTTCATGATGCAGAACAATATCATGCAGCCACTGTTTCCATTACAAGACACGCCGATTCCAGCGACCAAAAAAGATGCCCAGAAAGAGGGGCAGAAAACAGTTTCTCTACTCTCCCAGCACACCAAGACCAAGAAACACTCTCACTGGCCTTCAAGGGAGGTCGGGCAAGGAGAGTCAATGAAGGGAGATTCTCAGAGGACACATCGTATCAAAGAAGCTGAGCCCAAAGAACATCAGCACGTTCAAGGGAATGAACTTTGTTTCGACACGACCAATGGAGGGAGGTCTAAGAGGACTCATAATGATACTGAGAGTAGCTCACCGAAAAGGCTAAAACCCGTTGATAGCCGAGCTCCTGGACGAACCAAGGAGGATTTGAGGAATTACCTCCAGAAGAAGCGACAAGATGCCGAGGTAACCTCACCGGTCAAGCCGAGAACGTCGTTCTCGGAGAGGTTCCACATGCCGAGATTCCAGATATACGACAGTAAGTCTGACCCTAACTTTCACGTTGGCTTGTACTTGAACTCAATGGCGTTATACACCGGGAACAAGCCGTTGCTCTGCAAGGTGTTCCCCTCATCCTTTGGGGAAATCACATCAAACTGGTTTTACAAGTTGCCGAAAGGAACTGTGAAAAGTTGGGAAGGCCTAGTCGAGATGTTCGTTTCCAGGTTTGTGACAAACAAACTACAGCCATTGAGGGTGGACTCCCTAATGGCTTTGAGAATTGACGAGGATGAAGGCCTCAGGGCCTATGCCAAAAAGTATTATGAGGTGTTCAACCGAATACCAGAATGCAACCAAGAGGTAGCGGTCGTGTTTTTTAAGAACGGTCTGAACGATGATTGTTTGCTTCAAAAATCACTGGCAAAGACATTGCCAAAAAGTATGGAGGAACTTATGGCCAGGATAGAAAAGTATGTCAGCGCCGAGGAGGACATGCCACGGATAAAGGCGTCAAAACAAGAGAAGAGATACGGCTCACCGAAGCAAGGCCGAGGTAATAGTGGATACAATAAGCAAGAGACAGAACTGAGGGCTACACAGGCGATCACAACCGTATTCCAAATTCCGGTCTATAAAGTCTTGGAAAGAATCCGGAATCAGCCCTATTATAGAGCACTAGAGAGGATTCCTAGTGAATTTATGGAAAGAAGTCTGGGGAAACGCTGTGCCTACCACAATGAGGATGGGCATCTAACTCAAGGGTGTAGAGCCCTAAAGGCACATCTGGAAGACCTGGTAAGACAAGGTCATATAAGGGACCTGGTAGATGAAACCAGGACAAGAGAAGAGCAAGCGAGACTGCCTTAGGCACCGGCAGCACCGCCTCCATCAACACCACAACCACAAGTAGGCGGACCTCGAGTGATCAATGTGATTCATTCGAAGGTCAATGAGAATGAGATACATAGGGAAACTCAGAAGGTAAAACACTTGCAACATGTGTATCAAGTCTAACAGAAAAGACCTGAGGTAGATGAGTGCCAGGGACCAATGGTGTCTTTTACTGAAGACGACCTAGAGATGGTGCAGTATCCACACAACGATGCCTTGGTAATATCTCTCCAGATTGGAGAATGCTAGGTAAAACGAATTCTAATCGACCAGGGCAGCTTTTATGACATCATGTATGTCAGGTGTTACAAGGAGCTTGGCCTTCACCAAGATGATCTGGAACAATCCAATGGTCGGGTTCAATAGAACGCCGATGTAGCCCCTGGAAGTAGTAAGTTTGGAGGTGCAGGCTGGCACCAAGAAGGTAAAACTGAGTTCACAATAATTGACGCTCCCTTCCCTTTCAATGCTATCCTAGGAAGACCATGACCGCATACAATGGGGGCTGTTCCCTCAATATTGCACCAGCTATTGCGATTCCCAACAGAGCATGGAATTGAGGAGGTCAGAGGAGATCAAGTGCAGGCAAAGAATTGCTCCATGGCAGCAATGAAATCCATTTGCAACATACGAGAAGCAGAAACAACAGAAATTGAAAATGAGGACATGGAGGTCCTTTAGGACGTCGGCAAGGAACTAGCCGAGAAAAGTAAGAAAGTTCTTAAGAAGATCTTAGTCCAGTAAGGGGATGAAGAGCGCTTCTTTTTTCTCGGCTCAAGCTTGGCCGAGGAGGACGAAAAGGAATTAGAAGCGTTCTTGAGAGCAAACGTTGAGGTAATTGCCTGGACACCATACGAGATGCCTAGCATTGACCCTGAGGTCACTTGCCACAAACTGAATATGGACAGGTCGGCTAAACCTGTCATCCAACGAGTAAGGAGGTCGACGTTGATGCATGTTGAGGCAGTAGAAGAGGAAGTGGATAAACTTCTAGAGGCCAAAGCCATTCGAGAGGTAAACTACCCAACGTGGTTGTCAAACACAGTTGTTGTGAAGAAAAAGAATGGAAAGTGGAGGGTCTACGTGGACTTCACCAGCCTGAACAAGGCTTGTCCCAAAGACAATTTCTCACTGTCCAAGATTGATCAATTGGTGGATGCCACTTCAGGGCATGGAAAGATGAGCTTCCTAGATGCTTATAGAGGGTACCATTAGATAGCCATGTATCCCTAGATGAGGAAAAGACTGGGCTGTATTGCTATAGAGTGATGCCTTTTGGGTTAAAAAATGTAGGAGCAACCTACCAGAGATTGGTGACTAAGATGTTCAGACATCTAATAGGCAAAATAGTAGAGGTATATATTGATGACATGGTCGTGAAGACCAAGGAACCTGAGGATCATCTAGCTGACTTAAAGACAGTCTTTGATATCCTAAGGACATTTCGGGTCTGACTCAATGCATCGAAGTGTGCATTTGGAGTTGGGTCAGGAAAATTCCTGGGATACTTGGTCACCAGAAAGGGCATTGAGGCAAGCCCGGATCAAATCAAGGCCATCTTGGAGTTAAAGAGCCCAACATCGGCAATGCAAGTGCAGATGTTGACTGGAAGGGCTGCAGCCCTAAATAGATTCATAAGCAGAAGTTCTGACAAACGCAAACTTTCTTCAGTTTAGTGAAGAAAGCCACAGACTTCTTATAGACAGAAGAGTGCGAAGCCGCCTTGGCCGACTTGAAGAAATACTTGACCACAACTCCAGTTCTCTCAAATCTAGTACCTGGAGAAGAGAGGTTCTTATACTTAACGGTTTCAGACCATGCAGTAAGTGCAGTAGTAATCAGAGAAGAAAAAGGAGAACAGAGGGCAGTTTACTACATGAGTAAAACCCTAGCAGATGCAGAGACCAGATACCTGCCCTTGGAGAAGTTGACATTGGCTTTAGTAATGGCCTCCAAGAAACTAAATCACTACTTTCAAGCCCACAAGATTGTGGTGTTAACTGAGCATCCTTTGAAGTCCTTGTTACAGCAAGGAGATTTGACAGGTAGGTTAGCCAGATGGGCAATGGTGTTAGGCCAATATGAGCTGGAATTTAGACCCAGAACAGCAATCAAAGGCCAAGTTTTAGCCGACTTTGTGGCCGAGTTCACACCAGACGCCATCATACATCGGGCTCCGTTGAGCCGAGGTATACGATGTCCAGGTGAACAAGGAGAAACCTAGTTGGGGATAGCCGAACAGAGGAAAGAAGAGAAACTCAAGCCATACAGTATTTACGTCGGCGACTCCTTCCGCCTGTTTGTTGATGGAAGTTCAAACCGACAATGATCGAGGACAGGAGTAGTGCTAGTATCACTGGATGGACAGATGTTGGAACAATCCATTCATTTGGGGTTTAAGGCCTCAAATAACGAAGCAGAGTATGAAGCATTGATAGCAGGATTAAAGTTGACAGCAGCAACGGAAGCCGACGAGGTAATGGTCTTCTGTGACTCCCAGCTTATCGTCAACTAGACAACATGTGAATACGCTACCCGCAATGAAAGGATGGTGGCCTATGTAAAGGAAGTGGGCAGATTGGTAGCATTGTTCCAAAATTGCCGACTACAGCAAATTAGCCGAGATGACAACAACCATGCTGATGCCTTGGCCAACCTGGCTAATGCAATGAAACCAGGAGAGGCAAGGACAATAATGGTTGACTACTTATCAGGTCCAAGTGTAGAACCACTGAACACATAGCATGAAGCAATGTGTGTGGAGATGGGACCAAGCTGGATGGATGCGATAATAGCATTCCTTAGAGATGGAAAACTGCTAGATGATCATGCAGAAGCACACAAGATCAGACTGAAGTTGGCAAGATTCAGTCTGACAGTAGAAGGGCATCTCTACAGAAGATCTTTTACTGGACCCCTTTTGAGATGTGTGCACCCTTCACAAGTTGAAGACTTCTAATATGAAATACATGAAGGAGTATATGGAAACCATACTGAGGGCAGGTCACTTGCTCATAGGGCCATTACTCAGGGGTACTGTTGCCCTTACATGCAGAAAGATGTTGAAGCTTATGTCAGAAAGTGTGAGAAGTGTCAGAGGTTTGTACCTTTGATACACCAACCAGTAGCAAATCTGAAACCAGTGTCCAGCCCTTAGCCATTTGCCCAATGGGGCATGGACCTTGTTGGATAGTTGCCTCAAGCGACTGAACAAAGGAAGTTTCTGCTAGTGGCAACAGATTACTTTACCAAGTGGGTTGAAGCTAAACTCCTCGCAAAGATTCAGGACATTGATGTAAAAAACTTCATATGGAAGAACATCATCACCAGGTTTGGGATCTCAAGGGCAATAATAGCAGACAATGGTACGCAGTTTGACAGTAAGCTAAGCAAGAACTTCTGTGCAAAGTACAAGATCAAGAATTATTGCTCTACTCCAAGCTTCCCTTAGAGTAATGGTCAAGCAAAAGCATCCAATAAGGTTATCCTGGATAGGATTAAGAAGAGGCTGGAAGCAGTAAAGGGTAAGTAGGTGGATGAGTTGCCTAGTGTACTCTAGGCATATCAGACTACGCCGAGAAGATCAATTGGGGAATTCCCATTTGCCATGGCTTATGGCACAGAGGCAGTAATCCCATTAGAGGCCGGCATCCCAGGGATCAGAATCCAGGGAGTGGAGAATGGGACTAATAATGCATTTTTAGCCCGAAATCTGGACCTACTGGAAGAAAGAAGGGAGAAAGCAGCAATCCAACTGGAGGAATACCAGCAGCAGCTTGCCAGGGCTTACAATAAAAAGGTCAACCCACGAGAGTTTCAAGTTGGGGACCTCGTCTTGAAAAAGGTCGTCGGTAATAAGAAGGATCCCAAAGACGGCAAGCTTGGCCCAAATTGGGAGGGACCATAGAATCATCTCGGTCCTAGGCAATGAGGCATATCTGCTTGAAGACAGTGAAGGCAAAGAGTTGCCAAGACCTTGGAATACTTGCAACCTGAAGTTTTTTTATTATTAGATTTTTTATTTTTTAGAGTTTTTTGTTATTAGCCGAAGTAATAAATAAAATTTTAGCTCGATTTTTAATGTCAAAACTTGTGTAATACGACTAACCAATCACTTGGCGATGTTTCTAAGTGAAACATAATGAGTAACTTAGACTTATTATATGGCAGAGTTGAATCATACTTGCATATAATAGAGTTGAACTAAGTTGGCGATGTTTCTGATTGAAAAATGATGAATAACTTAGACTTATTATATGGCAGAGTTGAATTATACTTGCATATAATAAAGTTGAACTAAGTTGGCGATATTTTTGATTGAAACATGACGAATAACTTAGACTTATTATATGACAGAGTTGAATTATACTTGCATATAATAGAGTTGAACTAAGTTGGCGATGTTTCTGATTGAAACACGACAAATAACTTAGACTCATTGTATGGCAGAGTTGAAATTAAACTTGCATATAATGGAGTTGAACTAAGTTGGATTAACTTAGATTTACTGTATCAACAGAATTAAAACTTTAAATGATACTAAGTACATGTCAGTTAGATTCACAGAGAAACCGAGGTTGATAAACACGGCCAGTCTCTGTTTGAATCTGACCTCGGCGCCAAGATCATAGGTACATACTTAATGTGAACATAAGTGAAACTTAAGTTCACATTAGGGGACAGAGAGCTGGAGAATAATGTTTGGAAGTCGGAATTTACAAGTTAAAGTTGGTTTAACACTTGTTGAAATTTTAAATTTACAAGCTAAAGTTAAGCCGAGGTTATGTTGAAAGAAAATTGGTTTAACACTTGTTGAAATTTTAAGAAAAATTTATAAGTTGAAGTTAAGCTAAGGTTATGTTAAAAAGAAGTATCTACGTACTTGCCAAAATTACCATGTTGCCAAGACTTGGAAAATAATGGAAGACAGAAGTCTTGATAACTAAAAGTGAAGTGGCAAGTTTTAGATAAACACTTGTGAAAACTTTCTTACAATGTTTTTTAAGTGCTAAGACATGGCCGAGATAAACATTCAACAGGTATATCTGAAGTATTTTATCCCGAGAAAATTGCACAGTTAAGGTGTATTTTGAAGACATGCAAATTACTCTAAGTATAGAATCATACAAGATAGTAAAGAAGACAAACATACAAACATTTTGAAAAGAGGAGTTGTACTTGCATTTAAATGAAGTAAAAGGACACTTCGGCCTACAAGAAGGGTTACTTGTTCAGATTACAAAAGGGCACATCGGCCAAATACAAAGCTAACATTGTTTAAAGGCAAAGTATTACAACTAAGAAGAAAACAGAAAAAGAATACAAGAAAAAATATAAATATCCTAAGTGTTAGGATTGGCTTCATCAGCTAGGGTTTTTACACTTTTGTCGGCTTCAAGCTCAGCATCTATTTCTTCTAAAGTCTTATCCAAACTCTTCTCAATGCACTGGACCTCAGCCTCGGAAATGGTTGGTTTGGGGGAGACGACCTTGGAGGCCAAGTCATCCTCCTCATCTTGAGTTAAATCAATTTGGTCATTGAGGGTTGGAGACTTGGCATTAGCGGCAACCTCCTCCTCCACTTCGTCGGCTTCATCGTCTTCGGCATCTTCCTCGGGTTCTGGAGGGAAAGGCACCTCGAGCTAGTTGATGTCGCGAAGGTCGGAGTTCAGAGGAATATCTAATTCGTTGAGGGCCGCCGTCCAACCAATGTAGTAACCTCGGTTACAAGCCAAGTTAACTTGTTGTTTGTATTGGTCACGAACGGCGACCTGTCCTTCTTCAAAGGCCTTTTCATCGGCCGCCTTCACCTTGGCCTCTTTATTAGCAAGAGCCTCCTGAAGCTTGGCTTCCATATCAGCCACTTTTACGTTGGCAGCTTCGAGGTCGGCCCTTGCAGCCTCGGCTTCATTTTTTGCCTCCTTGGCCTTTTCCTCAGCCAGACTTTGAGCAGTCTTGGCATCCTTGGCCTAGTCCATAAGGGCGCGTTGCTGGCCTTAGCTTTATTAAGGGAGGACGGGAGCTTGGCTGCTTCTGTTGTCTTCTTCACCAAGTCCTTCCTCATCATCTCGGTCTTTGTAGCGTAGGAGTGAGCGTGCTGGATGGCCTGTAAAGAAGTAGCACAAGTTAGCAAAATTTCACTAAGTGTGGAAAGATTGTCAAAGTGAAAGGCAGAATACTTACCAAAACCGAATGCTGCATCATGAAGGCAAAGTCTTCATATTCATAAAAGTTCGGCCATTCGGTTCATGTCCTTGGGCAGAAGAACTGCCGTGGACAGGGCCACACTGACCTCAAGATTGGCAGCACTGTCACCGGCGGTAAGAGGTCTGTCGTCGAGCATGATCTCGGGCGCCCAGACCATACCTCGGGGGTAGCTACTGCTCTCTTGATGGTCTGACCGTGGCTTTTTAGCAGGTGGGGCCTCGGAAGATGGGTTCTCGGCAGGACGCTTCTCGGTAGAGGGGGCACTCTTCTCGGTTTCGGCCAATTTTGAGATAGGCACAGTGTCCTCAGAATCAATCTGGGTCACTGTGGCCTTTGCCTTGGCCTTCTTCACTCGTTTTGGCTTAGGGGTTAGCTGAGGGGAGGATAAAGGCTGGACATTGACAATGCCAGGAAGGTTAGTGAGCAAATCTTTGACTACTGCAGGTTTTCGGTCTGTCTCGTCAACGGTGGCGGCGATTGTGACCCTTGTACCAAAGTGAATTACTAATAGAGCTGTTGGTGGATTTGCTGGGTCGTAGGCCGACGACTCAGCACTTCGGCGTCTTCGGCTTCGAGTTCTACCTGCTGGTGCGAGCAGTGGAGCTCGACGTCAGCGTTGGCGTTGAGAAGGTGGAATCAGTTGTGGAGCAGAGGTTAATAGTTGTTCTGCTGGGGCAGAGGTTGATCCCTGATCTGGTCGAGGTGACGAAGTTGTAGCATAAGTGGTTGCAGAATGGGGGACTTGCTCTTTTTCGGGACGTCGGGCAAAATGGACTTATAGGTTGGGATATAGTTGAGCAACAGAGGGGCTTTCCGCTGGTCAACAGGCAAACTCAACAACTTCTTGAAATCCTTGCTGCGATAGAAGGATTTGCGAAAGTCCTTAGATGTGTGAGGAAGAATTGCAAAATAAAACAAACAGACATTAAAGCATACAAAAATATCAAAGTAAAAAAGACTTGAAAGCAAGTAAAGGTGACACTTGGCTCTTACCATTTCCCTCTCTGAAAACTATTCGGCTTAGGGGATAGAGGTGAAGGTCATCATCTGGTAGGAACTCTCAGTTGCCTGAGACGATGAAGTAATCATCTCCAGCACCCTTGTTGGAGTCTGAGAGGTCGGCGACAAGTTTGTATTCCGCGGATCTTGGCTTATGGTAATAGATATAGCCTTTTTCTGACTTCAGGTCACACATGGTGTAATAGTACTGGATGTCGGCAAGACTAATCCTAGAGTTCTCTTCTTTGGCTAAGGCAATTATACCATTGATAACTCGGTAAGAGTTAATGGCAAGTTGCATTGGGTTCAGTTTGTAATAGTGAAGGACTTCTTGAAAGAGGATGTCAAGAGGGAACCCAAGTCCATACTCTATGAAGGCTACCACTGGGAAGGGCATGAAGTCGTCTTTGGGCATGATGGAGTCCTCCTCCCTAGCCAACCTAAGATGAACGTCGGCAGGGATGGCAAATTCCTGCCTAAAGTATTCTAACTTAGTTAGGGTGTTTACCCTCCCCTTGAACATATCCATAACGTCGGCTAAGTGGGGGAGGTGTTCGATATAAGAAGGAAGTAGTTTGTTAAGGTTTAAAGGATCTCGGCAAAACCTAAACGTATATTGGGGCAAGAATTTTTGAGGATCTAAGGGGAATTTGTTTCAATTTTTCCTAAAATTTGTGAGTTCTACAACAAATTCCAAAACCTAAGACTATGCAAACAAGAATTGAAGGCAGAAATCTAGAAAATACAACAAGAAAACATAGCAAAAAGGGTGATTCAGAATCAAGAATAGTGATGAACTATCAAGAACTCTGTGACAAAGTGTGTACCAGAGTGCGAGGCCAAGATCAGTGGCAAAATAAACAAGTATGTGAGCGGTGTGTGTGTACTCAGAAAGAGATTGGGCTTCAAAATCATGAGACAAACATACCCAAATATATGATAGAATACAACGCACAAAATAATAATAAAGAACATGAACAGGTTGGCAATGGCAGCAAATAATGCAGTGGAGTTTTTTAAGAAAAACACAGATTGATAAGAAGGGAAGCAGTGACTTACCAGAAAGAGTGACGCTAGTGTGAGGTACGCCAGAGTTGAACGCTGATGGCGAATGTAGTAGAACGGTGGATACTTCGCTGGTGGAGGTGAACGGAAACAATTGCAGAAAGCTTTGAGAAGATGACAATGGTGGTTTAAAAAGAGAGAGAAAGCTTGAAGCACAGAAACAAATCAGAAAATGTGAAGTAAAAAGACGAAGAGAGATGGAAGTGTTTTTGTCAAAACACGAAAAGACGGTAAGTCGCAATTAGTGTGCCTAGAACGGCGTGCTTGTTAGACAGCGCACGCAAGTGCGATGCGACTTAATGACGTGTGTCAAGTACGGTTCAATGGAGAAAAGACGCGTGGTAAAAACAGTTGAATTACTGTGCGTGACAGCTCATATGCGTGTTGAAACTCTTGGAGTTCTTGATTTAATGAAGCAAAGACCCTGATTAAGGGAACGATCTTAGTTAAAGAAACTTGAGAAACTTGGTCCTTGGTTTTGAACAAACTACAAGTCTTGGTCATATGGAGCCAACGAATGATGACCTCAGTAATGAAGGATAGAACAAGTTTAGCCGACGTGCTATAGGTTCAAATAATATAGGTTCTATCACCTCAGGATGTCGAAGTAATAGAACCTAGGGAGCAGTTGTGGGGACATATTTCTTGAATGACAACACGTGGCCAAAATGGCACCGAAATGCCAGCCGAGGTGCCACGTGTCTTGGTCATGACACCGAGATTATCTCGGTTAGGCCAAGGTTATCTGCGGAGATGCCGGAGTCCGGGATAAACAGATAAGCTATAAGAGTCCTAGAATGGGAGAGGACCTCAGTCTGGATAAGAATAAAGCTCTTAGGGAGTTTATCTTTATCTATTTAGTTGTCCAGGATGAGCATTGAGCCAAAGTCCAAGAGAAGCTAGGCTTCTGTCGAAATCAGGTTAGTGCTGGTTATAAAAGTAAGGCACCCTCGTGGGTCTAAGGTACGCTTTTGATATTCTGGCTAGTGCGTTAAGCACTAATTATTATCTTTGAGAGATAACTGAGTATTGACTTGATTGTCGGACTACCCCCGGGTGGATGAACCACCGTCGGAGTCTTTTCTTTCTGTGATAGGTTGTATGGGCGTGATTTATTCTGCCAGTGTTATGCAGCTGAGTACCTGCTTGGCACTGTGGTCAGAAATCAACACACATAAGTATGTCTTTACTCTTGGTGGGGCGACTGTATCTTGGAAATCTTCTAAACAGACTTGCATAGCTAGGTCTACTATGGAATCAGAATTTATAGCTTTAGATAAAGCTAGGGAAGAAGCAGAATGGCTTTGCCACTTCCTTGAAGATATTCCAATGTAGCTAAAAATCGGTGCCTGCTATATGCATACATTATGATAGTCAATCAGCAATTGGTAGAGCATAAAGTCATATGTATAACGGTAAGTCACGACACATTCATCGTCAACATAATACCGTGAGATAACTACTCTCTAATAGAATTATTTCCATTGAATATGTGAAGTCTAAAGGCAACATAGTAGATCCACTAACCAAAGGGTTAGCAAGAGAGTTACTTGAGAATTCATTGAGGGGAATGAGACTTAAGCATATTAAATAAGAGTTACCACAACGGCAACCCAACCTAGTTGACTGGAGATCCCAAGTTTTGGTTCAAAGGGACAACCGAGTTGTGTATGACTCATAAGGATCACTGGGGAGTCAAAACTCCTACCCATTTCTATGATGAAATAGTGATGTTTGCAGTGTTTTAATTAAAGTAATACTGTTAATGACTTATATCTAGGAATACCTAGTGGAGTATGGTAGGATACTCTTCATAAGAATCACCTATATGAGTGTGAACTGGGCTTGTTCTATGAGAATTGTGAAGTGCTACATTTCTCTAGAACACTCATGAAATACCAGGTTATTCAGGGCCAAAAAGAACATAATAGTGAGAACTAAACTGTCCCTGGCAATATACTGTATGAGTGCTATTGTCTTGGTTTACACAAATAGCTGAACAGTTCAAGACATCATGTTCACTGGTTAGCTAGTAAATTGATAGTGTCTCATAAGAGAATGTTCAAAGCCAAAAGCTACCTATCCTTTGCGTAATAATTCCAATTCCTATACTCTCTGTAATTAGATCATGTTGTTACATTTTCTCTGTGTCAAATTCCATTCATGTGAGGAATTGTTAGAAAAGTATGGCCTGCGTTTGGTTGTATTTTGTAAATGTGATTTGAGAGTATGAGTTGTATTTTGAGTTTGTATGTTGTGGAATTATGATTTGAGTGTAGAAAATTTGTTTGGTTATGATTTTTAAATAGAGTGTTGAAATGTGTTTTGAAGATGCATTTTGAATTAAGTTTTAAAAGTTTGATGTGACATGCGAAATAAGAAAATTTGTTTGGTGATATGTTTTGGAAATAGTTTTCAAAACTTAATTCAATCAATAATTTATAATCAAACACACAACTCATATATCGATATCCGTATTTTTTATCAGCAGTAATAACCAAACTATTTTTAAAATACTGAAATTAAAAATTGATTTTTTTTTCAATTAACTTTTTTTCAGTAATTTTTTTAATTTTTTTTTTTCATTTTAAAATAAATCTATGTCAATTATTTTGTGTCAATTAAATTTCCTATCAATTTATTTTTTACGCCTGTACAAACATCTTCTACAATACGTTTTTAGAAGGCAGAAACGTTGAAAGTGAAGATACAAGCTGCCAAACAGATTTTCAAAATGTAATTTGAATTAACACGCAGAATCAACTTGTGAATGTCGTATCCAAACGTCATGCGCGAGCTCACGTGTTGAAAATTGATTTGAATTCACAACCAAACATAGCCATGGTTTTTATAGGTTTATTTTGGGTTAACTTTGAGCCCAAATTTGAGTAGGTCCCACACGTCTTTTGGGGTGGGTCTAAGGGGTGGCGTGTTTCTTGCCGTGTGGCGAGTCACACGGAACAAACGGTTCGTCAAAACCATTTATGAGTGAATGTGAAGTTAACGTCGTTTTTGGGTTTGTGAAATGGACAATTAAAGAAGTAAATGTGGGTTTCCTTGAAATGGATTGTCCCGTTGAAACTTAAAGAGAACTTATGTGTGTATATAAGTTCTAGGTGGGAATACTTGGTTTAGGCCCCAAAGGGCATCCTAAGTTTGTAGAAGGAAGGAGTTATGGACAAAGTAGACTTTGGCTCAAACCACCACACGCGTGCGCCGTTGCTTCCGACCGGCCGGCCGTGCAAGGCCCAGGGTGTGGGTTGTGGGTCGGGTCAATTCTAATATTAATTTTTTGGAAAAAATTTATTTGAATTTTTTTCAAAAATTCTTGCGATTTTTTTTTTATAAAGAAATTAATTCAAATTTTATGCCAAATTTGAATTCAATTTTCTGTCCAAAACAATACCTCCTCCGGTCCAATTTCCAGCAGTCCAATAGGTTCACATAAGTCGACAGTTGCACCAAATAGATTCGATTTCTTCCAGATAGATTCAAAACTGGGTTCAAACAATTTTGCACCTGCTCGAGTTTGAATTCATATTTGTTCGATTTGAAATTCATACATGTTCGGCCCTATAAAAGCAGACCCTTTCCAGCATATTTCTTATTCAAAAAATTTATTTTTCTTGCCTTCCTTTGTGCTTTCTTGCATATGTATTCAACATATTTTTTTAGGAAAAATTCTAAGAGTATAGAACACAGGTTTTGTTCACCGTTCAAATTGTTTGGAGTGCTACTACAATCTGTGTAAAGATCATTATATCCTGAGAAATAGACGTCATTTATCTGTAAACGCCAAAGCGAGGCAAATCTGTTTTAAAGACAAAGTGTCACACAGTCGACTTGATCTATTTTTGTATTTATTCATTTCGATAAATAAATTCTATAAGTAATTTATTTTTATTTGTTTGATTTGGTTTCAAATTCTTTATTTTACACAGAAGATTGATCCAACATTAAAATCTTACATAGAGTCTTTAGCTTGAAGAGTTCTAGCCCAATCTTCAACTTCTCCTACAATTCTTCTTCTCTTCACAATTTTGGAACTCACTCTCTCTTTCTCTAGAGTTGGTCTCTCTTTCTCTCCCTCTAAAGTAAACTTTCAGCACAAACAAATGAACTCATCTATAC